CTTCTTAAAGAAATCAACAATAAATGGATTGATGGCTAGAGTGAATCTTGTCAGTGAAAAAGTCCTTCACTTAGAAAAAGGTAAAACAACCCTCTAAGAGTACTAAGAATTTAATTCCTCAGTACCACAACTGCAAGGCAATTGGAGACCTTGATGGTGCGACTGTCCTTTGTGCCTTCCCAAGTAGCTGGACAGAGCCCTGCCTTCCTGGAGATGGCTGAACACCTGCCTGCTGATGGGAAGTAGTGAATGAATTCCTTGTTTTGCTTTGCTTGCATGTACAGCTTTTGCTTGACTTATTAACCTGTTTTAATCTCAACCTACAAGTTTTCTCACTTTTACCTTTTCGATCCTCTCCCTCATACCACCAGGGGAAAGTGAGCGAGCGGCTGTGTGGAGCTTATCGCCAGATGGGGTTAAACCATGACACTTTTGTAAAGAAAGTTTGAAAGAGAATGTGCTTTGCTTTTAAATCTGATGAAGTACACCCAGGCAAGGCAAGCTGAAGACTTGACATCTCAGAATAGCAATTTCTTTTGATGCAGTTACCTTTAGAAAGGCTATTGTTTTCTGTAAGATGTGAGGGGAAATAGGCGAAATCATCCCATCAGTCAAGACCCTAGGTAATAGTGCAGATGTAATTCCACACTAGTCTACTTGTGTATTTGGAAAACATTAATCTGTCTAGGTGTAATGTGAAGTCTTTTCTAAAACTTCTTGGGAATTTTCATGTGAGATTCATCTCCTTGCTTATTTTCTCTTGCTGTTGATCTTTTGGTCTTCTCTTGGATTCTCCACTTCATACTTTTCTAGCACGTACACAGCCACATTCTGATGATCTAGAAACACTCTTTTAAAATATCAAGCTGAGGCTTTGGTGATAGATGATGCACGAAAGCCAAAATGAATATACATGCACACTATACTAAGCAGGGGGGACAAAACTTAAGGACTTAAATTTTTAAACACACACCATCATGTCGCACTAGCTCTGCTGCAGATTCGTTAGTTGCCTTAAGTCATAAACTATACCAACAACCCCTTGAGTATACGCAGGCCATTCGCTCCACATTCCTATATTATACAGAGATTTGTTGACTGTACATGCACACTTATTTAGGAGAAACTTGTCAAGCTATTCTTGTTTTTATCCAGGGGCTTTAACAAAATATTACAGCACCAACACCACTAAAATGAGAATTAACACACAGTTATTTGCTGCAAAATTTCACCATGAGTCAGACTACCCGTTAAACAGAATATGCAGTTTAAAAAAAATTGTTTATGTCTCAGAGAAAAATTTCTCCCAGAAAATATCACAGCCATGCACACTCACAGAGCAGAATTACCATTCTGAATAAAAAATGGTGAAACCTAAGCTATCCACCTTTTTTTTTTTTTTTTTTTTTTTTTTTTGCCAGCATAAGCAATTGACATTTTCAGCCTAATGATCAGTAAGAGGAACAGGAAATAACAGGTTTGTTACACCTGGTCATCAGAACTCAAGAATATCCACTCTGGTGAGACCCCCACCTGCAGTGCTGCGTCCAGCGCTGGGGTCTGGGGTCCTCAGCACAGGAAGGACATGGAGCTGCTGGAGCAGGTCCAGAGGAGGGTCACAAAAATGATCAGAGGGCTGGAGCACCTCTCCTATGAGGACAGGCTGAGAGAGTTGGGGTTGTTCAGCCTGGAGAAGAGAAGGCTACAGGAAGACCTTATTGCAGCCTTTCAATATTAAAGGAGGCTTATAAGAAAGATGGGGACAGACTTTCTAGTAGGGCCTGTTGCAATAGGACAAGGGGTAATGGTTTTAAACTAAAAGAGGGTAGATTTAGAGTAGATACAAGGAAGAAATTTCTTACAATAAGCACGATGAAACACTGGAACAGGTTGCCCAGAGAGAGGGTAGATGCCCCATCCCTGGAAACACTCAAGGTAAGGTTTGACAGGGCTCTGAGCACTCTGATCTAGTGGAAGATGTTGCTGCTCATTGCAGGGAGGGTTGGACTAGATGACCTTTAAAGGACCCTTCCAATCCAAACTGTTCTATGATCCTATGATTTATTAGACCTGGCAACTGTGTTAAGGAATATAAATAAGTATTAGAAAACACAAAGAACAAATAAGAGTCTTATTTGACATGTTGTATCTTTAAAACAACACATATAGTGATACCATAATTTTTTGACCATTCAGCAATCCTGCTATCTTGGCTCACTAGAAAAATATTACCACTGGAATGCTGAATAGCTGGCAGAACCCCTCCCCGTGAATGTCCTAAATACCAGTAAACAGTAAAAGAGAAAGACATCAGCATTTAATACCTTAAACCTGCTAGGCAAACCCTACTGCAGAGCCAATTAAATGACATTCCTTGAAACATCTTAAGAATTATTTTTTTCTCAGAACTACTCGTTACTTTTGATCTTTCCTATTTCTCACATAAGGACAATTCAGCACACTGTTTCCACACCAGTGAAATGAATTCATTCTAGTGGTGACAGCAGCCGTGTGTAAATAAGCATCAGGATCATTATTACGGCATAAAAATGGTGCAGTGTTAAGTACGTGTACATTAAGGCTTTTGCATGAGTTAGAATTAAGTTGACCAACTATTTAAATGAATTGTTTTCTTAAAAGTTGCTACAGATAAAATATTGGGCAATGCCTACTTAATCTGTATTCAGCAGGCACTGATGAGAAATTATTGGGTACCATAACCACCACTACTCTCCTCGTTTTTAGCACCACTTATTTCCCCAGTGTGCATACGCTGCAGCGATGTCACTCTTAGAAATCATGATTATAGCTGACAGACTAGCTGACTGATTTTCCCAAATCATTGTAAGCTTGTTTAAGAGGATTAAAAAAGCTTTATATCGATTTAGCAATACAAGGTACTTTTAATGTGTTTAAAGAGCATCCATACAAGGTGGTTATATCAATTTAACTGATCAGTTTAGCGGGTGATCCAGACAGATTGATGCATCAGTCTAACTGTATCACTTGCTAAACTGATCAGTTAAATTGATACACCTCTTTATGTACAGAAAACATGATGTTAAATGCACAAATTGCTCTACAGATAAGAAACAGGGTTCCCATAAAATATTCTTATGTTTCTCACAGTTTTATATGCATCTTCTCCATGTCTCAAGTCTACTGTATTTTTAGGGCTGCCACATTTACTTCCAGAATTTCACGGACAGCAATACGTGAGTGGATGCTATATGGTTTTTCCAATACTTTGAGGGAGCAGCAGACATACTGCACATCGAGTGCACTGATGATTGGTATGTGTACCATAAATCTGTCACTTCCTGAACTTATCAGGCTTACTATTTGATATGTATCAAACTTCCAAGGAGGTTCACACTTTCAGCATGTGTACTTCTACTGCAAAAGTTTTCAGAAATTCCTATACAAGCCAGAAAAATGTCCTTAAGTTCCTTTCAGAAAAAATATCTGACCAGGGAAATAAAATAGATGTGGAAAACTTTAGGTACATTTAACCCTTACTACAGAACAGAGTTTGGCAGATTTCCCATTTGTAAGCATCACCACAGTGCTATGAATTACCAGTGATTTTACCCTAACAATCCCAACAGGGCAGGAGTAAGAGTAAAGCACAGCATATGAAGATCAGGATTTCATATTACCAAATCTTTTCCCAAACTGTAAGAGAACTCACACAAATCTCATTTTCAGACATTGCATGCCTGCATAGGTCACTCTGGTCTGTTGCCCAGTGATAGTTCCCAAGAAGCTGACTGCTACCTGGATAACAAGGCTTTTTCACCATCTGCAAATTTTTGATTTGTGTATTCTCAGCATTGACAAAAGAAAATTTGTAATGTGGCAGGAGTGGAGCTAGTGGATTCTTAGTGGTTAATAACTCAGGATTTGTCACTTAGCTCTCTTCAAGAGATTGCCCAGAAACCCACTGTTTCATCTTCCAGCTTGTTTCCCATCAAATTACTATTAAATTATTCATAAATTATTACATAGTTGCTTCACATCCCTGCAATACTAATTTTAACAGTTTCAAAGAGCCTGTAATACTAGCTTTCAGGTTTAAAAAATGCACATAGGCAGCAGTAAAATACATAGTACGGATTAATAAAATTAAAATCCAAGACCAGTCTTCCTTTTCTAATATAAACTCTAAAGACTCACCACCCCTTCTGGAGCTCAGCAATATCCCATTACCATCAGTTGCTAGCACATGTATCCCTTTGGACACATGAAAATATAATACACATAAAAATAACCACCAACATTCTTGGCATTTCAACAGTTTCCTAATAAATTAGGCAAGTAAAAAAATATTTTATCTACATTTTTTAATGTTACAGCTAACCCCTTCAGTCTCTAAATAAAACTGTGCAGGTAAAAACACAGGATGGCTTCATAACTGTTTCAGGAAAAGATAAATGCGCACACCTTGAGATAATAACTAATCAAAGTGCAAGTACTGTGCCGTTAGTGGGTGAGCTGCTGATTAGTCAAAAAGAAATAAAACTGTCATTGCAGGCTAAAAAAGGAAAAAATAAGCAATATTTAGAATTTTATCATGAGGAAAATAGTATAACATAGTACAGTATAGCATAATTCCATGTAAAAAAAAATCAGACTTGTTTTAAAAAATAAAAATTGCAGTATTCATTAAGTTACTCCACTCAAGTAAACGTAATTGAGAGATGAGCATTTACTTTCCCAAAATGTATCATGAAAATGAATAGCATGAAGGAAGCGCAGACATTCTGCGTATCTACTCCCTTATGCTGCATCAGGACCATTAAAATCACATGAATTATTTTGTCAAACTGCTTAGGAAGTTCAGAGACGGTCTTAAAATAGTAATTTATCTCAAAGTTGGTATGAGCAAGGCTCCTTTATTCTCTTTAAACCTTAATTAGTGTACTTAAAATGTAAGTTGCTTATCAAATGTAATTAATCATATTTTAGGGTGGGGTATTTTGAGCTTTAAAATGACTTACATTCTGCTGCTTGGTATAATCTTGTGCCCGTCTCTGAACCATGTCACTTGTGGTCTTGGATAGCTGAGTATGTGCAGGAAGTTTAGAACTGCAGCTTGTCCTTGAGTCACTGTTTTTTTCTGGTTCGTGTCCATGAAATTTCCCATGTCTGCAAAGAAAAAAATTATACTGAGAGTCCTGGAAGTTCTTGTCTCTCTTCCCATTTCTTTTCAGTAGACAAAGAAACAATGGTGTTTTACAACAGACGTTGGCATCGCTATAATTAGTCAATATGACACAACAGACCATGAGACAGTGTTGATAAATACAGATTTACAAGAGCAGTAAGGCAAAAGGCAAAGCCAAGTGCTGCTGGTGCACACAAGAAGAGCATCAGTCAGCAGTACTGCCTGGCCTCAGTGTTCTGCAATGAGTGAGTCCTTTTTAACTGAAAGTGACATTTTAATTGAGGTTTGGTGGTTTTTTTTTTTAATAAATCCTTGTACAATATAAAAAATTCCTGTGCGGTGCAAATGAATGCAAATGGTTTATATAACGTCACAATTTTTTTTTAATCCTTTTATCCATAGCTGGATCACTTGTAGTCAAACCAATATACAGTCAGACCCACGAAAGTAAGCCATGACACCCAAACAGCCACCAGAATAACAAGGCTATAGTCACGTTGGTAGTTAGTAGTTCTGGCACTATGCTACAATTTAAAAAGTGGATCTAAATCTCTGACATTTACAAAAGCATCAGTAGCATTAAAGAGTGGCTTTTAACAAAAATTTTAATGGAAGAAAGAAAACTACTGTTGCAGAACCTCTGTCTCTGAAGGTTTTATTTCATGGACAACTTCACAGATCTATGGAGTCCTTGTAAAAATTCAGTGAGCGTTTTCTTCTTTTGCCGTTTGTATCACATTCCTATCCATTAAAATAAACAGGGCTGTAGATAAACAGGGCTGGAGGCTCCTACTTATTCACCCTCCAGAGAACTTCTATGCATTTTAATTTGCTTTAAACCAAGAAGCTGACACACACAGAGAACTACTCTGCCTTCTGACACTGCATTCCTTTTTTTTTTTTTTTTTAAGGACCACAGGGTTCTTTACAAGTTCTCTGCTGCAGAGAGGGATGCACAGGACATTGAAACACAGCAGACTGCTAGCAGGTCTGTGGAGAGCAGGAGATGAGAACAGACAGAACAAGAACAGAAATTAAAAACACATGGTATTTTAAAGAAGCTTTAGCATCTTGGTGATTTTCAAGTTATTTATTCAGACATAATCAGCATTGTACTTCCCCTCTTGCTCCACATTTCTTACAACTGTAATCAGATCATCTACTTGAAAAGGAGTTTCAAACCGCGTAGGTGGATCTCATTAACTTCACTGTCTTATGATTATTTTAGTCTTTACAATCCCAGAGTTTTTAAGCCCATTCTGTAATTAAGATTTACTCAGCAGTGTTCTCACAACTATCTGTTCCCATTTGGTTCAGTACCACGTTAGCGTGTGTGGAGAACATTTTTTAAACTATTTAACTAGCTCCCTGCTACTTCAGAGATCCAGGACGTGGAAAATACCTCAGATCTTTCTCAATACACATTGTAATTGTGCCTTTCAATTTTTCACTAGAGATCCTGAGCTTAAGTGTATTGGGAATCATCCTCTATCCAGTGGTAAAAAAAGTTAATTTCCTGGGATCTTTACATCATTAGCTCCCAGGATCTCTGAAACAATATCACTGAGAGATCCAACATCACATTACTGATATTACTGACATTACAGGCACAGCCACATCATTTACTGTAATAGAATAAAGTGGTGAACATGATACCAAAACTTACATAGTAACATTTGCAACTGTTTTTATTTTAAAATACACAAAATTCCATGCAATTTCCTTCACGATATAGTGACTAACTTGAATAATTTCCTTGGATTTGGGTTTCTAATAAATAATTCAATTTATCAAGTGACATTTACTACTACTGAATTGCCAGTTATTGACCCTGGGGAAGAGAAATTTGATCCATGTAACACATCGTTTACATGCAGTATACTAATCTGTCTTTTTATTTTCTTTTTTATTTTTACTTTGAAAAAAGGACAAGGCCTAATTTTATTCCTATTTCCAGACAAGTTATTTGGATTATATTTTTTATATGTTAAAAAAAGAAAATTAGAGTATGCAATCATTTCTTAGGTCATGTTAACTAACTCTTGAGAAAATCAGTTTAACATTTCCAAATGGAAGTCAGATATCAAATTAGAGGTCAACTCTGAAAAACTCTGTGTAGTACAAACTAAAGAGGTACAAACATTGGGGTGTTTGGTGTAGAAATGTGTTGAGAACAGACTTTTAAAGTTTGGTTAGCAAGGTTTTCGCTGCAAAACAACTGCTTATTTTGCATCGCAAGAATTATGATCTGAAATCTTCATGGACCTATCTCCACCATAAAGTTTTCTTTCAGATATCTTCTTATGTCTTCCGGGATTTCATTTTTTGTTTTGATTGATTGCTTATTTTGTGCTATATGGCCTTTCTTAATTCCTGCACATTCAGGGAAAGATATAACAACTTCCTCATGCTACAGCTATCTCCAAACTATCATCTGGCTTTGATGGCTTTGAATGGCTCAAAGCTTATCTCCACCATAAAGTTTTCTTTCAGATATCTTCTTATGTCTTCCGGGATTTCATTTTTTGTTTTGATTGATTGCTTATTTTGTGCTATATGGCCTTTCTTAATTCCTGCACATTCAGGGAAAGATATAACAACTTCCTCATGCTACAGCTATCTCCAAACTATCATCTGGCTTTGATGGCTTTGAATGGCTCAAAGCTTGCTCTGAAGACTTAATGGTGCACTGCTTTGAACTCTTTCTTTCCCAGAAGATAACTAGAGAAGGTGCAAAACTTCTTGCAATGCAATAATTTAAAAATTTATTAAATATGATATCTAATAACTTTTCAGACTAGCAAACGTTACTGGTATGTTGGATTTTACCCACAAAGAGAATCGGTCAGCTAATGAATCACAGAATAGCTTCCATTCAAACATACATGCCACTTGAACTTCAGATCTCCTCTGCAGCAACGCCCCCATCCTGTTCCGTACGACACACCGATAAAACCCAGCATCAGACCTCTGCAAAGCTGGGACGATGTACCTGTAAAATAAAATGCAGAATTATAGTGCACTTCCTCCTAAGGGCAGATCAATGCTACTTTATGGGACATTTCTTATTTCTCCTCTAATATTTTACACATTGACTCAAATGGTTATTGTATTTTTTTCCTTACAAACAAGGCCAGGCTGGATGAGGCTTTGAGCCACCTGGTCTAGTAGGAGGTGTCCCTGCTCATGGCAGGGGGTGGAACTGGATGATCTCTAAGGTCCTTTCCAGCCCAAACCATCCTGTGATTTTCATATAGTCTCTGGTCTTTGGCTACAATATTGTCTGTTCTATACAAATGAAAAGAATACTTGGAACACACAAAATATCTTTCAGTCTTAAGATCTACATTTCATAAATACTAATTAGCTCTCCACACATTCTCTTGGAATACAGACTTAAATGTTTTCCATAGTTTTATCTACCCTCATGCATTAGGCAAAGACACCTGGTATTTTGTTCATAAGAAGATTACAACCTAAACGTAGGCATTAGGAACACTTGCAAGAAATATCAAAGCCCTCCAATGAAAAAAGATGTTCACTACACAGTGGGACCCTGCAACTCAGAAGAACACTGGAAAAGACACAGCGCGCTGCACATTGTGTTTGTTCTGCCCTTCACCATACTTCAGAAGTTACTTAGCCCACTAATGCTCACCTTCCCTATTCAACTATATCTGATTACTCAACATGAAAATGAGCTGATAGGCACAGTTTTAATGTGAATCAAACACACGAATAATATAGATAATCCTGCATTAAACAAACGTTAATCAAAGTGGATATTCCCCCGGTCACCTTCTGGAGATACTACGGTAGGATTAATGAAAGTCTTTATGAAAAGATATGGAAAAATAAAACTGCTGAATTTTAATCTTCTAAATTTAATTCCACTAAAAGAAAGCATCTCCTCTCATATTCACACATGCTGTACACACCCGCATACCGAGCTTAATATCTGAATAGGATCAGACAGCATCAAAACAAAGGAGGTAGAAGAAATCTCGTTTAAGTGATAAATGAAGAGTGTAATCACTGCATTATCATTGTAATTAAATACACTATAGCAAATAGGTCAGACAACCAAATACAGTGAATTAGAACAGAGCCCAACACCACGGCCAAATTTTAGCTATTTCCTGTGATTCCCAGGAGACCCTGGCTTCCTAAGTATATGAGTTGTAGGCAGCTGTGCTGTCTGTCTGTCTGTCTCTGTGCCTAGAGATGACTCCTCCTGACCTCCTTTGGAGCAACCAGCAAATTTTCTCCAGTGATTCTGACAATTTGTACTGGGAAGATAAGGAAGACTCAAAACAGTGCTGTTTGGGGGTAGTAAACCCGACAATCAGCACACCAACACTTGCAGGCCAGTGAGTATATAACCCAGAATTAGCCATGCTTCCTCTTGCCTGGTGAGTCTGCCATAGGAAACAGAGTGAGAAAATAGGTGACAATACAAGGCACAGGATAGAAATCAATAGGACACAAGCCTTCCATAGTTCCTTACAGAATCATTTCCTTCTCTGGCAGGCAGATGATTGTTGCAAATCATCATTACCAAAAAAAAAAAAAAAAAAAAAAAAGTTCTGACAAATGAATATTGACAAGTGATTTCTACACTTCATTTTACCAAATAGTTTATAGCTTAACAAGCTTTTCTTCCTCCTGTAAAGATTTAGTATTGTACTTGGCTAACATTTATTCCTGTGCTTGTCTATTAAATAGAGCCAAAATTAAAGGCTTCTTTCCTTGGTATTCATCCATACTAAGACAGTAATACAGAGTTAGTTTTCCTGCCACTAGGACAAAACAAATCAATTAGATCAGAAGTGTCCTACTTCGGTTTCCTTTTATGACTTATTAATATTTCAGCAGG